GCTCAGAGGGTCCACCACGGAGCTGGAGGAGGAGGAGGATGTGGATGACGTACTTCCTTTCCGGCTCACCTTCTTTGTTTTAGATTCTGTGACCTGTGGGGAAGTTTGTGGAGATTCTGTCACCTACCCTTGGTCAGGGTCCCTTCCTCTTCAGGAAGGGAAGCCAATGTATCAAAACTGACAACTTGGTCTTCCAGACACTGAAAGCTTTGCTTCCATACATATAAAGGACTCAGACTCCATTTATTTTCTTAACATGTATTTATCGTAAAGATACTATATAAAGGGGTTACAGTTACACGAGTAAGGTAATGAGTACATTTCCTATCAAGCATTGTTACCCCCTCCTTTGTTTTTCCCCTACCATCCCTTCCCTCCCCACCTCTCCAACTTCTCCCTTCCTCAGACTCCATTTATAGGGCGGAAAAAACAAAAACAATAAAACTGACACCTTGACTTATCAATATGCAAGGGGGTGGGGATGGGGCTTACTTTTTGTGACAAGCACCATGAATGCTAATCACAGCTGTCTGGGAAGAGAAGGCAGGGAGTTAGCTAGGAAGGTTTGAAAAATTACTTGGAGGCCATTGAAAGGCAGGCACAATAAGACTAGGGGCAGCCTAGAAGCCTCTATGATCCACTCTCCTCAGCATTTTATCATAGTTGACTTACAAGCTAATCATTGATCCTGCAAAATGGATGTTGCCAAAACTGTAACCAGACAAGAGACTCCACACAAAGATCCAAGAAGAGCCTCAAAAGGACCTTTTCAGGCTTAGCCCCTATCCAGAATTTCACACACAGGGACTGCAGCTCACACAGCTACGCATGCACACAACCTTCCTTCACTTCCATAAGGAGCCTCTCTGTGGGCAAAGAGCCACCCCAGACCTGCTCCATCTCAGTTCTGCCCTCCCCAGACCAGCACAGAGGCATTGACATTTCTCAGGAACCACCACGCCACCTGCCTGGCAAAAGTGGTGTAGGCAAGTCATGAATCAGCATGTGTGGCCTTCCACAACTATGGACCTTGAAAGCATTCAGTAAGAACTTTGCAGCCGGGCACTAGTGGCTCACCCCAAGCACCACCCAAAAGAACCCTGCCTGTGTATTCACACTCCAGGTCTCTAGCCTGATTTTTTTTTTTTTAACATCAACAGGTAGCTATGGTGAGTATTGATTCTCCGTGTTCCAAAGAGAGAAATCTAGAAGCAAAGTGTAGTTTGCTGACACATCCAAACTGGGGCACCTGTTCCTCACCAGGCCTCATGGACAGGAGAGCAGGGAATGGAAGGGATGGCGGTGTGATGAGCTGAGTGGTAGGCAGCTGAGCTGCCTGAGGTAAAGGGAAGAGGCAGAAAATGTTTTATCCAAGTTCTTGAGTCAATACAACCTCAGAGCCTTAGGGTGTTCACTGAGCCTTGGGGGAAGGGGAATCACCAAGCACTGGGGGTGCTCACCATGATGGGCTTCAGCGGGTGGTAGTCACCACACTCTAGCTGCACGGACTCCAGGCGGCAGGATGCCAACTCTGCCTTGTAGTTCCGGTTCCTGGAGTGCCTGCAGCAAGAGAACAGGGTCAGCTCAGAGATGGACACACCCAGACCCAGCAAGAGATGGTGACCAGCCTAGGAGCTAGGCCTGAGGCCCAACGGACAATGATTGTGTCCTAGGTGCTGGGTTCCAAACCTCCACTCCCCTGTGGGCTGAAGGACTTTTAAGTTAACTCTTTCAACTGCCTCCGTTTTCTCACCTGAAAAACTAACATACGAGGAATTAAGGCTAAGCACTGTGTGGGTCACCAAACAAGAGCTTGACAGGTGTAAATTCCATGTTCTCTGCAGGCCTCCTCAACTTCAAAGTTGCTGGGCACCTGCTATCCTGCTCCAGGCAACACCCTCTCTCCTTCCCTCCTCCCCCTTCCTCCAGCACTGTGATTTGCAATCAGGGCTCAGCTTGCTCTACGACTTGAGCCACACTCCTTTTGCTTTTGTTTTCCAGATAAGGTCATGTTCTTTTGCTTGGGACAGCTTCAGATAGATAATTCTCCTCCTCAGGGGCTGGGATTACAGATGAGAACTATCACACTCAACCCTGAGCCCTGATTCTTTTAAAGGGGGAACACATTTGTGGGGAAACTGAAAGACCAACATGCAGGGACCACACAGAAATGCTTAGCACATGGCCTGTTAGGAACTCTGAAGACTCTAAACACTAATAGGGATGTGATATCTGTTTCTAAAATTCCAACAAGCTGGATGTTGGTGGCCCACAGTGTAGTCCTAGCTACTCAGGTGGTTGAAATCTGAGGATCTTGGTTAGAAGTCAGTCCATCAGGGAAGTTTCTGAGATTCGTATCTATAACTAACAACCAAAAAGCCAGAAGTGGAGGCGTAGCTTAAAGTGGTAGGGCACCAACCTTGAAAGAAAAACCAAGTGAGAGCCCCAGGCCCTGAGTTCAAGTCCCAGTACTGACTGCGGTACCTTTCTGGAAGTTTCTCATGTTTTGGGAGCTTAGGTCTTACTGATTTCCCAAAAGGCACCGGCCACTTGTCAAGCCCCAAGCCCATTTCAAAGGAAGCTGAGGGCGTGAGGGGCCTTTGAGGCAGCTGCTCGCTCCCGAATAATCCCACTGTCCTGAGGTCCCCTCACACACATCCTCGGAGCACGCCATTCCCTGCTCCCGAGCTCCTATTCGCCCCTCAAGACCTAGTTTCAGGTGTTCCTCTCACGCCTTCTCGGGCGCCCAGCGGCTTCCCCGGAGGCCGGGGCGCGAGCGCACGCCGCGCACACCGGGGGACGCGCAAGGCCACTTGACAGGCGAGGCTGGGCTCGGGGCACGGAGGCGTCCCGGGGCGGGCGGCGGGCTGTCCCGAGCTGTCCCGAGCCCAGCACCGGCCCGGCCCCCCCAGCCGCTCCGGGGGCGAGCAGGGACGCGGGGCCTGTGGGCCGGGGGTAGCCGCCGCAGGGAGAGACCCCATAGACCAGCGCTCCCGCCACCGCCTCCTTACCACGGGAACGCGGCCATCTTCCCCGTCACGTGACCGCAGGCACGGGACTGCTCTCCCCTCTCCCGTCCGGACGTGCCCCGCCCCGTCCGCCCGCCATGATGGTCAGGGGCGGGTGCCGTAAAGCGAACCTGGGCACTGTCGTGCACGGCGCCATGTTTACTGGGGGCCGGTGTCGTAAAGGGATCCGAGACGCTGTCTTGGGCCCGCGCTTGGCGGCGGGTCAGGACTGCGCGGTCGCGCTGCTCACATGCGCCCCCTCGAGGCGGAGGGACAGGCAAACACTAGTGGAAAGTGGCCGCAGAAGTCGGGGACGGGTGCGGGGAGGGGGAGAGGGGAGGGGGAGAGGGGAGGGGCCGCCTTCCCTGGAGCTTCCTCCAGTGCCCTCGCCTGGGTAAGCACAAACCACCAAACCAAGATTCCTTTAACATGAAGTTTATTTTTTGCCTTTGCCAAGAAGCAAACCTAGTGAAAATTAAAGTATAAAAATAAATACAATTTACATGAATGAACACTGCACTCAAAGAAAAATAACAAAAATATAATGTATATAAATAAACATCAAAAGCAAAAAAAGTGTCTGGCACTTTTGTAAAAAGTTGTTTTGTAAGAAGACATTTAAAAAACTGTAAAACACACACTTCTATCTTCAGGACCACATTCGGTTTCTTATCCTTAACCTAACAAGCTATTGTTTTAGCTAATTTGCATTACTATGCCCAACATTTTTAATGTCTGTCCTAAATAAAGAGGCCTGAATGGAAAAGCTATAGCCTGAGTCTCAAAATGATAAAGCATGGTTTATCACATTAAAAAGATAAAGCATGGTTTATCACATTAAAATGATGAGATAGTTCATTTATAAATTTAAAAATTAGTAATTTGGGCTTTTTTTTTTTTTACTGTTTTATAATTTCCCAGTTCACTCAGTCAAAAAATGATGAGTGCTAATAAAGAAAATCAGGTTTACCCCAGGTTTACTTCCAGACCATAGCTGGAGTCAAAGTGAGCTCTCAGGAGGAACAGAAATTGGAGCGAATACTCTGCATATCCTATTCCTCAGGGGTTGTGTGTGTGTGTGTGTGTGTGTGTATACACACACATATATATGTATATATATATATATGTGTGTATATATATATATATATATATACACACATATATGAATGCTGTATTTTCAAAATACCAGCAATTGTCTAAAATTCAAGGTAACAATATTGAACACACCCAGTCCCAATTTGAGGTGGGCATCACTGAGCCCTTTTTGGAAACTAAGGTAGTAGGGAGAGAGTCTGTCTGAGGAAGCCATGTTCCTTTGGAAACATTTTCTGGGCAATACCCAGTCTGAGCGATGAACTCAGCCTAAGCATCCAGGCCTTTCAGTGTGGGTGAGACTAGGCATCTCAGCCCACTGCTGAATTGTAAATTTAGGATCATATAGCCCTTTGTGTTCCTAAACCACTCAGCATTCAAGAAAAAGTTAAGTCAGGGACATAAAGTAGGCAGACCAGAGAAGCTCTGAGCTTCTGGGGAGCCCTGCATTCAGGAAGAGGCCATGCTGCTCCCCAAAAGATCCCCTGTACAGCCACTGCTTACAGACACTCCTTGACAAGAGCATGTGCTTCTGACCAAAACTGACACACATGTTTGCCCACATGATTATACCATAAGCCAAAAAATGAGATTCTGAGTATTCAAGTTTACAAGAATGAGAAAACAATAATTTCCCTTTGACTAGAGCAGTTTCTAATTCATGAATTAAGCAGTCAGTATGAAGAAATGAATGCAACTTACCCAAAGTGGAGCTGTGGCTCAAGTGGTAGAGTGAGTGCTAACCTTGAGCACAAAAGTTCAGGGACAGTGCCCAAACCCTGAGTTCAAGCCCCAGGACCAGCAGAGAGAGAGGAGAGAGGGAGGAGAGAGAGAAAAAAAACTTGCATATGGATGCAATTACCTTTCAGTGCTTACTTCTGATTTTCAGTATTTTTTAAAAAATAAATCCAAATGTCCTTTTTAAGTTACAAAAGGGTTCTCTGTAGACACCTGGGCACACAAAATATACTTTTGTTTGTATACGTTAAACACAGAGAAGAGACAATTACTAAACACTAATCTGTCTCCATCCACACCAAATGTTACAGGAGATGGGCAGTGAGCCAGCACTAGCCAGACCGACCAAACTATCAGGTGACTGCTCAGACCTTTGCTGTCACTTTGCGGGGATAAGACAGTCTTGGACAGGAAAACGACCTGGACAATTGTCCTCCCCTAGTTGTCACCCTAGTGAATGCTGTCTTCTTAAATTGTCGCAACATTTGGCCGCTTTCTTTGGGTTTTTCCTGCATATACTCCTAGAAACAGAACAAAATAGTCATTCTGTTAGAAATTCTCCATGACACCAGCTAGTGAGTGCTTACTGTCTACCAGGCCAGGGGCCAAGGGTGGGTATTCTCTACAGTGACCTTGAGGTGACTCCTGTCACCAGCCTGCCACCTGCCTCCACCCTGAGCCTGACCTGGCCATCCCAGTATGGATCTCCTCACTGGACCAGCCATACTACTTGCCTGCACGCCACTTCTTACTCTGCTTTGATGAATGGCTTTGGAATTTCACTACATACAAACTCTAGTCACACACAAAATAATGAATGAGGTGACATTTTAAAATGTATGACATCAAATTGAAATTCATCCTGAGTAAATGAAATAATTCTCCATGCTGTAGCATTCTTTAACACTTAGAACTCTGTCCATCCATCTGTCCAGGATGTGGAATGCCATCATGACAGAAGTCAGTTTTCAGAAGTCACTTAACCCAGACTTCAATCCTCATGTATAACTGACCAAAGCTTCATTCTACATTTGTTTAAAACCTAATTAATAATTGGAGCAGGAAACTAATTCTTTTCCAGAGCAATCATAGACTCTTATGTGCACTACTGCAGTGACAGTCCAGAGAAAACCTTGCTTCCACGCTCACTAACTGCACAGTAATTTGGAGCCAACTTCCTGCATGTCAGTACTGACATGGCTGCTGTGTCTGCCAGGCTCACTGCACTGCTGGCCAGCACCCCCATGGTGCTGGCTACCCAACACAAGCCTGCTCAGGAGTGACACATGCAGAGGTGAAATGTACGAGAGAGCATGAGAGGCCACTGTGACAAATGATGATATAAAACACTGTGAATGAATTCCAAAATGACTTTCCAACCAGCTAACACTGATCACTTTAATGTGTAATGCTACCTAGGGAAAGAGAACCTGGAATGTCTTGGCATCCCTAGAAGAACATGGGGTAGGGTCTAATTCTCATAAATGGTCATCTTCCAGATTGGCTCATAAGCCAGCAGGATCCACAGCTCCAATGATGGTCAAGCACAGTGATTTCAACAGATGACCTTGAATTACTCTTTCTGTGTGCAACATCATGAATTTTAGTTACCACATACCTGTGAAAGGCCAGCAGTGGCTTCAAAGTCACCACCAACAGCTTGTCCCCTCTGAGCACTTATGTGGGTGAGTGAGACAGCATGACATTACACATGCTGCTTGCTCTCCGGCCTGGAGGTCACTTACTCACACAAATTCCAAATTTTGCCTAATTGGTTACTAATGGGAAGATCAGAATTAAAGGTTTAATCTTCATTTGGTCTAGTGATTAATTTAGCTGCCTTTTACATGTTTAGAAAGCAGTTTAGTTAAAGCATAGCATTTTCAAGGTATTTTTTTTAATGGATCACACAATTCCCAGTGAGTGTAATCATACTGTCTTAGCAAGACACCTAATAATCATGGAAGCATTTGATTAGGAGCGGGCTGGGCTGGGCACTGAGGGGCCTCCTTGCCACCATAAGTGGATCTGAAATCACGGGTCCTCATGTAACCTTCAGCTGCCTCTAAGGAGGAAGAGAGGAGACTGCTCAGGCTGTGTACAGGACACAATGGCTGTAGTTTCAAGGAGGGAGATGCCCCTTCCCCCACAATGTCAGGTGCAGGTTCAAAGGCTCTGGGAGACATGCTGCCCTGAGCCCACAGACTGCTGAAGGCTCATTAGCTCTTCCTCTTTTAGAAAAGGGCTTAGGTTAAGCTTGGAAAATTCTAGTTTTTTTTTAAAAATAATAATATAATCATAATCATAATAACATATGTTTTCCACAGAATTACTCCAGATGTTAACATTGGGACTGCAGTTTCTGCCATTTCTTGGCTACCACTAAACACTAACACAAAGGATCTGACAGGAATGCCATGAGTACGCCCCGTGGTGGCAAGGAGGGATGCAGGTGGACCAGGCTTCTGTGAGATGGCTTTAGGAGCTGGCTTCTACACACCTGCAACAGGCGCTCTGTTAGGCACTCTGCTCTGGGAAGGCTTCTGTCTATTTTGCACACCCCCCTTCACTGATGTCTTAGGGGTTCTAATTGAATATAAAAACATTAATGAGTCACTTCCAATTCGAGTCTACATGTTCAAACTTCAAAGAAAGCCACCACCCCAAACAACAGTTCCAAGTCTCATGCATGTACATAGTAGGGCTATGCTTTGCTTCCGCATGCACGCAGTAGGGAGAGCCACACCTTGGTTCATGCTTTGTTGGAGAATCACTCTGATAAAGCTAAATTTATCACATGAATATTCTTAAATAATTAATAAGATGGTATGAAATGAAAAGCAAAACATGCTAATGGTATGTTGATATGGTATGATTAACTATGATATAGTACCCAACAGTACAGCAAGAGGACTATCTTTGAAGAAGAAGATTTGGAAGCTCTTCCCTGTGCTGTGAAATGCACCCCATTTGGAAGCAGTTGTCCCCTCTAGAGAACACAACAGTCATGGTTATCCCCCGAAGCCAGTCTCCACTGCTGTACATCCCTCAGGAGGGGCACTCTTACCCTTGTCTACTAAGCAGCCGATGAACAGGTGCATTCTGTCCTTGGTTTGGCTGGAGGACTCTGATAAAAAGAATTAAACAAATTAATTTGAAAGTATAGACCCCATGTTCCCCTCATTCTTTCAACGGATGAAAGATACCGCTGTTGAGGTTAGGAGCCATCTGTGCAATGATACAAGCCAATGTAAGCAATGAGCACCTATCAATATGGTACGTAAGAGTTTGGGCACCAAGATCCCATACCTTAGGAAGATAGGACCAACACAGACAATAACCCTAGTGCTCTTAGATCATTTACTTTTCTACCTTACAAAAACTGACTTTGGAAGCTTGAGAGAAGAAAATCTAACACATTTTAAAGTAGAAAATAGGCCAGCAATATTAAGCTAGCTTTCACAAGTACCATAGCCCCCAACACCACCCCCAAGACTTCAGACTGAACTCTCAAGACCTCCTGGAGACAGCACAGGAAGGCTCAAGGCCACCAACAGCACCAGGTAATCACAAATATCCATAATATGCCTGAATTTTTGCCACTCAGCAAGTCCAACTGACAGAAAGTAAAATGAACATAACAAAAAGGAGGCTTGGGACTCATATATGTTTCTTTTCTTTTTTACAAAAGAAGGCCTCTCACTGAGGTGAAGTGATTTTCTCACCTTGTTTCAGAAGGATTTTGTTTAAGTAGAAATCTCCTATTTGGCATTCCCATTTCAGCAGCCCTGACACAATATAAAAACAAGGACATAAATGATGTGCTCAGAGAAGAAAACATAGTTACAAACGTGAAATGGTGTGACAGATCTAGTCATTGCTCAAAGGTGGGTGTTCAATGGAAAGACTTGTATAAAACGTATCCGATACTACTTTCCAGAAAGGTTTAACAGATATTGGAGCACACCTTATACTCAGGTTTTACCCCAGGAAATCTTTGGGTATCAAAGGAAGAATACATCTAAATGACATAAAAATCAAATATTGAAGGATTAACTGATTTCTTTCTTTCTTTCATCAGTCATGGGCTTGAACTTACATCTGAGCACTGTCCCTGAGCTTTTTTTTTGTGTGGGGGGGGGTTATGGGGCTTGAACTCTGGGCAGTTGCTCTACCACTTAGCTACAGTGCCACTTCTGGTTTTCTGGTGGTTTATTGGAGATAAGAGGCTCAAGGACTTTCCTGCCTGGGCTGGCTTTGAACCGATCCTCATATCTCAACCTCCTGGTAGCTAGGATTACAAGTGTGAGCCACCAGCACCCGGCTTTTCCCTGAGCTTTCTTGCTCGGGGCTAGGATTCTACCACTTCAAGCCACAGCTCCATTTCCAGTTTTCTAGTCTTAAAGATAGTCTCGCTGGGCGTCGGTGGCTCACGCGTGTAATCCTAGCTACTCAGGAGGCTGAGATCTGAGGATCTCAGTTCAAAGCCAGCCAGGGTAGAAAAGTCCATGAGACTCCTATCTTCAATAAGCCACCAGAAAACCTGAAGTGGTGCTCTGGCTCAAGTGGTAGAGCTCTAGCCTTGAGCTGAAGATCTGAGGGATAGCTCCCAGGCCCAGAGTTCAAACCCCACGACTGACAAAAAAAAAAAAAAGATAAGAGTCTCACAAACTTTCTTGCCCAGGCTAGCTTCAAACCATGATCCTCAGATTTCAAACCCGAATAGCTAGGATTATAGGCGTAAGCCACCAGCACCTGGGAGGATTAACTGCTTTTTTTGTTGTTGTTGTTGGTTTGTTTGTTTGTCTGTCATGGGGCTGAACTATGGGGCCTGGGTGCTTTCCCTCAGCTCTTCAGTTCAAGGCTAGCACCCTACCACTTGAGCCACAGCACTACTTCCAGCTTTTTTATGCTTATGTGGTGCTGAGGAATTGAATCCAAGGCCTCATGCACTGGAGGCAAGCACTCTACCTCTGAACCAACTTCCCAGACCAGGATTAGCTGTTTTTAGGACTGCTTGATTAGCTACCAATTACAGGAGTTGACTGCTGACAAAATCAAGTAACTGATTCATTTATAAAGAAGAAGTCCAAACTTACCACAGATTTTAATGAATCTCTCTATATTATAAAAGAGATTTATATCAGCTGACTGAAGAAAAATTACATGTTTAGTTTTGAGTATACAAACAGCCCAACAGACCACCCACATTTGATGGTGAGGTGATATGGCAAAACTTACTTCATGAACTTCTTCCTGTCCAGAGACTTCTGTGTTGCAGCTGAAAGAGCCACACGGGGGCTTTTCATCTTATCCTTCAGAAAGAGGTGGGGGAGGGGGGAGGGTCTTACAGTGAGTCACCACTAGAACAATGCCCACCACACAGTGCAGCACAGTCCCAACTTCAATGTCATATTTTAACTTTATCTTTCCTTTATAACAAAAGTGATCTGATTCTAAATATTAAATATTTGAATTATTTTTCCCAACAATGTTGAGATCACTGACTGATCCACAGATCAATGACACAGTGACATATAGGATTTCAAATTAACCTGTAGCCTATTTTCTTTGCAAAAGGCCAAATCTACATGGCAAGGACAAGGAAATCCCAGCAGGAACAATTTTCCATACACCAGCTGCACACCTTCAAGGCTACAACTCCAAATGCAATCACAAAACCAGGAGGAATTTTCTCACTCTTCAAGTCTTTCCCATGTAGCTAGAGATCTCAATGTTGTTGGTGAACCTGGGAACTATCTGGGCTCAGGAACTGTTTGAAGAGGGCTAAGGTTCACAGAACTGAATGAACTATCAGCCCAGAAGCACCTCAGTCATCCAGAACCCACACACTTACCATCTGCCTGAGCATCTTCTCCTTGCGGGCCTCTCGGTCATAATGGAGAATAGACATTCTTTCAGCCGCATCCATTACAAAGAATATGTCATGAATACCATACAGGGCAGCTCGCAACTAGGTGCAAAAGAACAAAGTGCAGTTCAAAGATAGGAACATGAGGTGTACCATGCATACTTCATTCAGAGAAAAGCATTATGAAAGTTTTCACTGAGATCTATTTACAGTGATTAAATGAGGATCAAATACAGCACTTCCATTTCCAGGGCTCCACTTGTTCTAGAACTAGTGGGCTGCCTCTGGAAACATAGGGTGGGGCTCTCACCTGTGCTGACACTCTCTCTTGGAGGGAGGCATCCTGAGCTGAAACAATGCCCCTCTTTAATGGAGCCTCTGACTGGAAGCTTCTTATGAATTCCATGGTGTCCTGGAAAAACAACATACAAAAAAAGTCCTTTACAAACACTTCTCTACAAAGATTTGTGATTACCAGAGTTTCCTTTTGTTCTTTTCCTTGGTTGGTCCAAAATTTCCAGAAACACAAGTAAAACTATTACTAATTACATGTCAAGTACCACTTCCTTCAGAGCAGGAAAAGCACATTATCTGCTTCATTTGAGTAAGAGAGGGACAGGCACAGCCAGGGACTGTTGGGTCCTACCCCCCTGAGCAACAATGAACTTCCCCAACAGCTGCTGGAGCCCAGGCCAGCTGAGGGGCCTGCAGCAGCATCAGACCCCAAGGCCACACAGAATAAGATGGGCCTCCATGCCCCCTTTTCTACAAGGCTGAGAGCTGCAGGCCCTGGTGAGATGGCTTCAGATTACAGGGCTCACTGCAACACTACACCCTGAGTTTTTATGCAGGAACCTTTGAAATGCTCGCCTGCAAGGGACTTTGTATGAAGCCATGAATGCCAAATTTGGAGAAGAATCTTGAGAAGAAGAGGCAGGCAGGTGAGCATGTCAACCCATTTGGATTAGCACCTAGCTAATTAGCACCTAGGTCAGCACTGGAAGCAAGGTTCCCATGTGGGTGCCAGGCCTTGTGTGCAGACCCTGGGGGTCAGACCCCCACGGATGAAGCATAAACACAGCTATGCTGGAAGACGTCCTGTATGACAGCAGAAGAGAGGAGAGAAGGGTACCATCTCAGGCTCCAAGCAGCAGCTTAATATGGCCAGGTAGGGACAGAGGCTGTATGAGGACAGGAAGGAGGCAGGTGCCGTACCACCAGTCGCTAGACATCTAAGTGTGCACATGGTAACAGTGACTGACTTCTGCTCAGAAGTGTGGAAAGGACCCTGTGCTTTGTCCACTCTGGAGTAAACGTTTTATCACCTTCTCCACATTCGTGCAAAGCAGTTCTTACATGACAGCAAGTTGTCACAAGTTGTCACAAGCAGCAGGAACTATGACCTTTGCTCACACCGGTGAATTAACATCAAAGCACTTATAGTTGACCACCTACCCAAAACCCTACCCACATCATGCAGGCCTACAGTGGAATTCCTGGCTGTCCTGTGCACACCTTCTCTAAGACACTAGGCCTGTGAGCTGAGACACACAGGAGTAGGGGGAGTGGGGAACTGGGCAGGAATGAGGGGAAAGGTTACAATGCCTATTTGGGGAATAGGGATGCCTTCACCCCTGAAAGGAAGCACAATCATCTCAAGAGGAATCCTCCCTTCTGTGCATTCTCCAGAGAGGTAAACAAGAGTCTGGTACTAAACTGAGGCCCAGATTAATTCTAGCATCTTTATGCAGCCTCTGAAGATGCCAGCCATGCAAACAACCCTGGCCAAGTGCTTCTCATGAGCTTTGCTCCTCAGCCCCAGGGTCACCAGTCTGCACCTCTCATGCGCTCTTTGTGGGCTGTACAGGGATCCTCAAGCACTTCTGGCACACAGTGCTTTGTCTTTAGAGTATCTTAGACAGAAGTCTAGCCTTCTTCATCACTGACTGAAAACATTCATGACAAATGCTGTGATGCTGGCCACCAGCCATTTCAAAATCAGTGGACTGAGGCAGAAAGATCTTGAGTTCGAGGCTAGCCTGGGGCTACACAGCAAGATCCTATTTCTTTAAAAAAAAAAAAAAAAAGTAACAAGAAAAACAAAACAAAACTGAGTAAGCCCAACAATCAAACTTACAAATTTCTGGTTTCACAGTAAGCAGAAAGTGTCTGATCTAAACTCTAAACTAACATCAGCTCATCTATCGACAAAGGGCTGATGGAAACTGGCATGGCAGTGAAACACAATCTTACTTTTACGGTCTGCCGAAGCTGCTTCAGCTTGTCTGTCTGCATCAACCTGCGGGTAAGAAATCCCTTTGCCACCGCAGTTATCTTGTTAAACTTCGCTTGGACTTCAGGACTAAAAACCTAGAAGAAATCAGAGAGACACGAGCATTTTTAAGAATCTGAGTACCAGCGGGGTGCTGGTGGCTCACGCCTGTAATCCTAGCTATTCAGGAAGCTGAGATCTGAGGATCAAGGTTCAAAGCCAGCCCCAACAGGAAAGTCCATTAAGATTCTTATCACCAATTAACCACTAGAAAACCAGAAGTGGAACTGTGGCTCAAAGTGGTAGAGCACACTAGCCTGGAGCAAAAAGAGCTCAGGGATAGTGCCCAGGCCCTAGAGTACAAGCCCCACAACAAGAACAACAAAAAAAGAAAGAAAGAAAGTCAATTGTTTTCCTTATTCAGTTTCTCTATGTGTTTGCTCTGTGTAGTTTCATCTGTACCAAAAACTCCACTATTTTATATGTGGCAAAAATACTAATGCTCATTTGTACCGCCTAAAATAGTGAAGCTACTAAAACTAAGATCAATTGGTAAATAGCAAGCCATGCATCAAGTGTGCCCACCTGAGGCCACCTAGCCTGGGCCCTTCCGAAAGGCCGTGTCACCGAGCGCTTGCTCATGCTGCTAGCTGATGACCCCCAGAGGAAGAACGGTGCTTCATTCGCAGAGCCAACGCTGTACTGTAGGGCAGAGTTTGGGAAACCTAGAAAAACACAGCATTGCACTTGCTGTCATCTAATCGGAATACACAAAGCATCCAAACATACCCTGTGCCAGTCATTAAGAACCACATCTGTCTCCAAAACCGATCCTCATGCACACTTAAAATATTTACGGACTCTAAGCTTGTGCGCCAGATGGATCTATTGAGTACAAACAGCATGTCAAGATAATTGGTGCTGTGAAGATAAGCCCCTATGGGCACTGGGGAATTAGAGGAAATCCAAGAGCACCCAGGAGAGGTAATGTGTTTTCATGGCACACACTGCCTGCCACACGAGTGAATGGCTGGCATGGTTCTCTAGCCGAGGCAGAGCTTCCTTGCCACCACCTGCCTCAGCTCTTTCATCCACTCAAATTTCACTCCATTTCATCCTCTCTGGCTATTAAGCAGCTGGCCCACAGCAGAGGGAGGGTGATGTAGAGAAGGCAGGCACAGTCCTGAAGGTGCCAGAGGAGACATCTTCCTGCAGAGTAATGTTTGCACGTGGAATGGGCTTAAGCACTCACCAGAACTGTTTGGACCGCAAGTTCGGAACGAGTCCACCTGGGGCAGCACTGATTCTAGCAAGCCAGAGTCACTTCTCTTCCTCCACTCCAACTCCGCTGCAGCGCTCAGGCTCGATTCTGAGACCTCTGCTGTCATGGCTTTCTCTTTTAACACTTTCTCCTGTTCTTCTATTTCCTGGAGATTAACCATTTACTCTTAACATGCTACATCTCATTTAATTGTATCCCCAAGGAGTATCATTTCAGGCCTAGTCAAAAATACCCGGACTTAACAGGAATTAAGCTTTCCTCCCTCAAGTAAACTTATGACAACTTAGATTTTTAAACAGGCATTATTTTTGCAAAATCTGTTTTTCAGCATTGTATTTTGGTCGGTTGTGGGGCTTGAACTCTGGGCCTGGGAGTTGTCCCTCAGCTCTTCAGCTCAAGGCGAGCACTCTACCACTTGAGCTACAGCACCACTTCCAGTTTTCTGGTGGTTAATTGGAGATAAGAGTCTCACAGACTTTCCTCCTGGGGCTGGCTTTGAACCGTGATCCTCAGATCTCAACCTTATGAGTCACTAGGATTACAGGTGTGAGCCATCAGCACCCGGCTCAGCATCTTTAGCAATATTAAAATCTTTGTCTTTAGCAATATTAAATGTCTTTAGCAATATTAAAATCTCTGAATTAAAGATGCAGAGGAAAACAAAAAACAAAAAAATAAAGTTGCAATGAAGAATCCTTTTAATAAAACAATTACTTTTAGATAAAAATCTAAATTTAAACATTTTGACAATAAAAATACTATCCATGCTGGCCGCTGGTGGTTCATGCCTATAATCCTAGCTACTCAGGAGGCTGAGATCTGAGGATCTCGGTTCAAAGGCAGGAAAGTCTGTGAGACTCTTTTTTTTTTTTTTTTTTTGTCGGTCGTGGGGCTTGAACTCTGGGCCTGGGCGCTGTCCCTCAGCTCTTCAGCTCAAGGCAAGTGCATCTACCACTTGAGCTACAGCGCCACTTCCGGTTTTCTGGTGGTTTATTGGAGATAGGAGTCTCATGGTCTCTCCTGCCCGGGCTGGCTTTGAACCGCGATCCTCAGATCTCAGCCTCCTGAGTAGCTAGGATTACAGGTGTGAGCCACCAGCGCTCGGCTATGTGAGACTTTTATCTCCATTTAACAACCAGAAACCCAGAAGTGGCGCTGTGGCTCAAGTGGTAGAACCCTTGCCTTAAGCTGAAGCACTCAGAGACAATGCCCAGGCCCAGAGTTCAAGCCCCATGACCAACAACAACAAAATGCCATCGATGGCCAACTGCCAGTGGCTCCTATCTATAATCTATCTATACTCAGGAGGCTGAGATCAGAAGATCTCAGTTCAAAGCCAAAGCCAGTCCAAGCGTGAGACATTAATCCCTAACTAATCACCAAAAAGCTGCAAGTGGAACTGTGGCTCAAGTGGTCAAGCATCAGCCTTGAGTAAAATAGTCAAGACCACCAGGCCCTGAGTTTAAGCCCCAATACTGTATACATGCATGCACACAGACACACACACACACACAAGACACCAAGACACACACAGACAGACAGACAGACACACACACACACACACACACACACACACACACACATCCATGAATCAAAATCAGCAACCCCCTTAGATTAAAACATATAGGGGAAAAGAATTATAAATATGCTACCCAGTCTCCGCTCACTCCATGGCCCTGTGCTCTAGCTAGCCCCTCACCTTTTGCAGTCTTTGCTGCTCCCGCTCCTGCTCAGCGATGAGTAATGACAACTGCTGGGCATGCTGCTCTTCTAGTCTTTTCCGCATTTCTTCAAATGCTAACATCTTACTTCTTAGGATCTCCTCACCTTCTGAAAAGAAACGTGTCCCCTCAAAATCAGAAAACTCCCTCCAGGTCTTACCTGATACCCCACAGTACCCATTTGGGTTATGCTTCTGCCCAGAGGAATACTGGACCTGACCCAGCCAGGTCACCAGTGGGAGCTACATCCCACCTGCCACTCCCTCTTCTCTCATGCCAGCCAATAAGGAAAGATGCATCTCCACATCTTCCACCAGGAACCAGTGAAGCCAAAATGATGTATCCAGGCAAATTCCAGCCTCACAGCTTCAAGAAGTTGACTGCAGTTCACCACTACCCTTCTCCAATATCTCTGCTTTTGTACCATGTGGACTTTTTGGTATTTTTATTTATTTTCTTGGGGTGGGGTGGTGGTCCTGGGGCTTGAACTCAGCCTTGGTACTGTCACTAAGCTTTGTCACTCAAGGCTGGCCCTCTACACTTGAGTCACACCTCCATTTCCAGCTAGTTAACTGGAGTGTCACAAGACTTTTCCACCTAGGCTGGCTTCAAACTGATTCTCAGATCCCAGCCTCCTAAGTTGCCAGAATTACAGGCTTGAGCCAGCAATACCCAGCTTTATCCCTTGTAGTTTTGCTTTGAATTTTAAAATTTGCTTAGATAGTTGAAAAGTTTTCTCATCTTGAGGTTCCAAAAAAGATTGGCTTTTAAAATTCTAGCTATTTTAGTTCCTAAGATTTTTTTAAAGAGATTATCATGACTTGCAAGCTGATACACAGAAAGCAGGGAACCACCCACACTGAAGTACTGAGATACTGAGTATCTGTATTGATGGATCGTCAAAGCAGCACTCTAAATAATGACTTTATTGAAGACCAGTGTACTGTGGGATAGTATCCAACTGCTAGAGGCTTCCTATAATTTGTTCCTAAACACATGTTATCCAGCCTGCCTTGTAGTTCTTCCTATGCCAGAGATCTAAAACCTTCAACAAGAAAGGAAAAAGCTCCTCAGCTCCACTGCTCCACTGCCTAGGGTCCTCCAGACACTGTCTCAAGAGCTCAGCGGGCAGCCATGGCACCACCAGTGCCTCTTCGTCCTTGCTGGAAAAGCCCTACTCTGAATACTGGTCAAAGCAGTACCAGAACCATCAAGCTGGCAACTTTTCCTATTCACAGAAGCAGCTGTGGATCCAAGTTGGTGCCCCAATTATCAATTGTTTTATTAGAGTTCTCTTAAAAGCATTCTGCCCTAGCCGGGCGCTGGTGGCTCACGCCTGTAATCCTAGCTACTCAGGAGGCTGAGATCTGAGGATCGCGGTTCAAAGCCAGCCCAGGCAGGAGAGGCCGTGAGACTCCTATCTCCAATAAACCACCAGAAAACCGGAAGTGGCACTGTAGCTCAAGTGGTAGAGTGCTCGCCTTGAGCTGAAGAGCTGAGGGACAGCACCCAGGCCCAGAGTTCAAGCCCCACGACCGACAAAAAAAAAAGCATTCTGCCCTAACCTTATAACTTTTCTGTAAATGCTAAGAACTTAATTTACTTCATCTCTGCCTTCCATATCAGGAATGAAGTATAAACTATGACAAAGCTGTTTATGGAACTAAATGCAAAAGAAATATGAAATCAAGGGCTGGGAAGGTGGCTCAGTGGCAGAGCGCTTGCCTTGCATGCCTGAGGCCCTGGGTTCGATTCCTCAGCACCACATAAACAAAAAGAAAAAAGCCGGAAGTGGCGCTGTGGCTCAAGTGGTAGAGCGCTAGCCTTGAACTGAAGAGCTGAGGAACAGTGCCCAGGCCCAGAGTTCAGGCCCCATGACTGGACCCAAAAAAAAAAAAAAAAGAAATATGAAATCAAGTTTATCAAGAAAGAACTATTCTTCAGCATTATTTGTGGTGTTTCCTCTAAGTGCTCACCAAAGGGCTACGAACAGGAAGACCTCATTACAAGTCGAAGAGCAAACAGGCAAAAACATTAGAAATCACAAACCAAGGAAAGGTGTCACAGCAATAGCTTAATTAAAATGTTATACAAGAATTGTTTTTCTCAGTCATTAATTTTTTTCTGTAATACCAAGTGGACTATGAAAGCTTCATCATTAATTTTAAATAAAAAATCCTTTAAGGGCTGAGAATATGGCTCAGTGGTAAGAGTACTTGCCTAGCATGAAACCCTGGGTTCAATTCCTCAGTACCACATACATAGAAAAAGCCAGAAGTGATGCTGTGGCTCAAGTGGTAGAGTGCTAACCTTGAGTAAAAGAAGCTAAGGGACAACACCCAGGCCTGAGTTCACAAGCCCCAGGACTGGGGGAAAAAAAAAAATCCTTTAAGAAAACTTACCATGTGGCAATAAATTGTCACTTTTTAGCGCTTTCTAGTTAAATGAAATTAAGCACTCTTATGAACAGATGAAGAGAACCATTTTTACTTTGCCAAATGCCAATTAAAAGTAGTATAAGAAAGTTGCCACTTTCTTGGAAGATATTAGATGCATCCCTTTCCTTACCTTTGGTGCTAGTATCTAAGATTTTGTTCTTGTTAATGTAGACAGGTCCTCTGGGGTATCTTTTTTCTGGCAAATGTTGCCTTTCCTGCTCAACCATTCCTGTTGTTACTACATAAGGGTAGTTTTCCTTTTGCAAACTTTCAATGTCCAAATCTAGTCTCCGCTTAACTTTTTCAAAACTGTTATCCAAAAGCTGTTCATCTGCACAGGGCACTGTAGGTGTGGCCACCTGCTGTCTGGAGCTCTTGGTTTGTGTCAGTAAGGGAGATGGGTGTTTCACATCATAAGACTTATTCAGTTCCATTTGTGAATTCCAGCCCTTCTCTGGCATCCCAGCCAGCTTGGGCCCACTTCCGGCTCCTAAGCTGTGACTTCCTAGGCACTGACTGGTGGCACAGGGCTCAGGTACCTCAGGCACTGCAGCACAGCATGCCCCGCTCTCACCAGATGGCATCTGGCCTTCCACAGTACCAAGTCCAGGAGTAACTCTGTCTTCTAATTGAGTTCCTAGAGATGGACACAGCTGACTTGATTCACCCACAGCCAGATCCTCTGTGGCTTCGGATGCATTCTTGCTGATATAAACCTTGCTTGAACACACCCCTGCTATATCACTTGGTAACTTTGGCACAGGTCCTGTTCTTTTGTCATCACTGACTGGAACAACTACGTCCACTGCCTGCTCTTTGCCCTTAGGACTTAATTCACAGGCATTTATTGGGTTATTGATAAGAATATGACATGCGGATAATGGCCTGGAACGCCGCCGATGCATTTTAGGACTCATACTTGGCTCTGGACTAGGCAATTTGGCATATGAACCTGTAAGACTTTTGATGACATTGTTTTCAGTAACAAAAGTGGGCCTGACTTTAACATCACACTCAGGATCCGGAAGAGAGGGACGGCCAGGTCGGGCAGGCGCATCTCCTTTAGAAAAGTCAGCTAAGGTGGAGGTGCTCAGGCTGCTTGCCGGAGAAGAAGCACCTTGAAGGAGAACATTGGACTTATTAAGGCTTGGTTTGTCAGGAATAAGGGAGCCACAGTGCTTGCCTGCCAGTGGGGTCTTGTCCTTCACACAGGCACCGGCTCTAGCAGCATCATTCTCCTTGTCTGAGTGACTCTCACTGACACTCCTCCTATCACCGCTCCTCAGGCTGCGTCGACACTCCTCCCTCTCTAGAAATTCCTTTGATTTTTTCATCAAGTTCTGCAGACTCATGATGTAGGGATCTGGGGTCCTGACCTCCGCCAAAAGCAAGGGATCTTGCTCTTCGTTGGTTGAGAACAGACCATCGGAAATGAGAGTGTCCTGGAGGGGTGTTGAGGTCTTTGGAGAAGCTTCATTTTCTGCAGGGCCAATATCTGAACCATCACACTGCTTCGGAGAATTAACTTCTTCTGCATCTCCAGCTAAATCCATTCTGTTAGTTTTATGCTGGTCCTCATCATCAACTGGCAAGATTCCAGGTATGTTTTCAAGCTCTGCTAATGTAGAGCGTTCAGCAGGCCTGGATAAGCTATTTGGGAAAGCAGCAGGAACATTCAAGTCTTTGACTTCAGTCTCCCAATCCTCAAAGTCACTGGCATTAGGTGCTTTTCTAACCTGAAAAAGGACATAAAAATTAGTATGTCTCCACTGTACAAAAAGTCTCTGATTTCATTATTTTTATCAAATAAAATGGAAACTGAAGTTTCAGAATACTGGCATTTCAAAACACAAAGAATGAACTGTTTCCACATTATACCAGGAGGATCAAATTTCTATAAAAATAGCTATTGGTTATCCTTTTTATTGAAAGAGGAAAAAGAAAACTGTCCAATCTAATACAAATTGGAAACTCATACCACGCGCATATTTATGTACATACATGAGAGAATATACAAATATATATTTGAATATATATTTGACCTCAGAATTAAAGTATTTTCCTTAACTCTCTTCTGCATTATTATTAATATTACTAACTATATTCCTCTTAGGACAATATCATCTATGGAAAATAACATGCAATAAATATCAAAGAAGTAAATGCCTTACATAAATGATTCCCTCTTTAACAAACTTGCTTAGGACACAGATTAAACAGAAAATAATTTAGTAATATGACTCTTGCCTCCCACATGCTCATGCCAAAGTTTCAAGAAAAATCCCTACAATAAGGCAAATCTGTAGTAAATAATAGTTCATCCAGTCTGGCACCAGTGGCTCACACCTATAATCTTAGCTACTCAGGAGAATAAGATCTGAGGATTGAGGATCAAAACCACCTGGACAGACAAATCTGAGACATTCTTACCTCCAATTAACCAGCAAAATGCTGGAAATGGAGATGTGACAAGAGGTAGCATGCCAACCTTGCGTGAAAAAAACAAGGAAGAGCAGAAGCCCAAGTTCAAGCCTCAGTACCACCACAAAAAAAAAAAAAAGAATAAGAAAATGTGTTTATACTGAGATTTGGCACAGGTCCTGAGAGAAATCACTACAGAATTATCATGTGAGTTTAAAGTCCAGAATCTTGAACAGTAAAAGATTTTGGGGTTGTTTTGTACATATGGCCTCCTGTCTCACCTTACAAATCCCAGATGCATAGTGGTCTCCAGTTAGTATGCAGTGCGCAGCACCAGGTGTACTTAGTAGCCACTCAGGACCAACGCACAGAAAAGAAGGATGGCATTCACCAAGCCACAAACCTGCTCAGAGGTTTGGCAACAATAATACTGCTCACATTTCCCATCTGTCATACTCAGCAGATGCTTTTGTAACAATGAAAGTGAGCTTTGGTTAGAGAAGCTCAATTTTTTAAAAAATCTATCATTGATTTATAGGTAAACCCAGACCCCTGAAATCTATGTGTACTATATGAAATGTCTCAATACAGTGACCTTTTTTAACAAAAAGTGTTTGGACTTAATAATAATTTTACTACTGTATTTTATTAGCTGAATAATTGGTATCTTCTCAATAGATCAAGAATATGTCATTTTTTGCAATTACAGGAAATACCTAATAAGTCAAAAAACTATCTTTTTATTAAGTTTATACATTATACTTTTCAATATAATATGCCAAGCCCATATTACACACAACATACAGAATTAAAGGGATACCTAAGATTCATAAATACCTGTCACCTGGTAGAAATCACAAAGACAAACAAACCCTCAAGATTGTGGCAAAAAAAAAGTAGCCAGTAAATAGTGTAATGTGTGGCAAAATGATATATTCATCAGAACTCATTTGTTTTCTTTTTAGCACAAAATAACCCAGACCTAAAAGCAAACTGTACACACTCACGTTAAATAGAAATAATTGTAAATGGAGGGACAAAGAGTGAACAAATGCAGCAGTGGTACTCACTAGACACTATGTTGAAAATGAACTAAACAACTTGTGGGTAGGGATGCGAGGGAAAAACTGGGGGAAAGTGAGGGAAAGGATGACATGGTCCAAGAAGAAATGTACTCATTACCTGACTTACACAACTGTAACCTTTCTGTACATCACCTTTATAATAATAAAAAAATTAAAAGTAATGATAATTGTAAAAAGTGTAGATGTTTTAATGATTCCAATTTGAACTAAGAATGTAAGTAGGCAATTCTATTTACTCTACGTTGTAGTTTGCATAACTAAAAGCAAGATTTTCAGAGAGAAAAAGAAAAAAAGAAGAGCCGTTATTTACTTTGGCAAAGAAAGAGGTCCTTTAGTCGATAATCTGATGTGGTCAGATGTTACTACAATGGCCAATTCTATCATTTTGCCACTGAAAATTCAACGCTTTTAAAGTCATAAGACATAGACAATGAGCAATTATATGAAGTGTATAGCTCCACTGTCTAAGTACCCTCTGATTCAAGTACTGAGGATCACCCTCAAGCAAGTAAATTCTCTCGAGTAACAAAAACGGAATGACACAAATTATAAAGCTTCCCAAAGGTAACAGTTGAAGCATCTCAGTAATTAGTGAAGTACAAATATAGTCTCAAATATAGTCTTATTTCTAAGGTTTGGATTACACACCTGAACATTTTCAAGAATCTCCTGAACACGCGTCAATAAAGCTTTCTTCCTAGTAACCTGCCTTCTTGCTTCTCTTTCAAGTGCTTTCTGCTTTTCTTCTTTTATTTCGTTTCTCTTCTCAAGGTTAAGCTGTAAGATATCATAAATGGGTAATTATTTTTCAATGATGAAAACAATAATCAGGAAGTTTTTTTTTCAATTTTATCAGAACAATTACATCCATGTGCAACAGATAAAACTAATCAAAGCAGAAGGAAATCTGACTAGTGGTTGGGTGGTTCCAGGCATGGACCATGGAAGACCTCTCTGTGCTGAGAACACTGTGTATGTGTCACATAGGCGTGTGCCACAATTCACTCAGGACCTATGCATTTATGCATTGCACTGAGTGTAAACTATTCTCAATTGGAAAAGTTAAAGGGGGGAGGGGAAACAACTGCTTACTTATCAAATGTCTAAAATAACCAGAGATAAAATTCGTTATCTTAGTTTTTCATTTAGTGAGGTCTGTGTTCTAACATCTCAGATTTTTCTGATTTTCTAATCAGTGTGCATGTTGCCCCTTTGCTGCGTCACTAAAAAATAAAAATAAAAAAAGAATGATAAAAGAAACAAGACCAGGCTAGGCACTGGTGACTCACTTAGCTATTCAGGAGGTTGATATCATGGTTCAAAAGCCAGCCCAGGCATAGAAGTCCATGAGAAACTTATCTCCAATTAAGCACACACACAAAAAAAAGCCAAAAGTGGAGCTGCAGCTTAAGTGGCAGAGTGCTAGCTTTGAGCAAGAAAAGCTCAGAGATAGTGTCCAGGCCCTAAGTTCAAGCCCCAGAACTAGCTAGCATGTGAGTATGCAAACACATGGGTTTTTCTGTGAGTGGTTTGCTGTCAGGAGAAAAGACGTTACCAGTGGAGAAAGCACAGCCACTCCATGGAAGCGAATCAAGGAGACACTCGGGGACTGTGCAGGCAGGAAGCTCTCTGTGGCCAGGGATGCTTCCTGCAATCTGGCAAGAGCCTTCTCACAGAACTCCTCATACTCCTCCATCTTCTCACTAAATAAAATTAAAATGTTATTTTTAATATGCTGTCAAAACAAACTTTAACTATTTGGTACATTGTGCAGAACACAAACTACTCCATGAATTTATAAACCCTGGGTAGAACTAGCCTTCCCACAATTGTTGTGGTGATGGGTAGCTAACAAAGAGACAGAACAAACCCCAAAACCATCCAGACAGGACTTGCTTCACATATTCAAGTGCTATGGACAGTTTTGCAATCTCTAAATGTAACTAGTTTAGAAAGCACTAAGAATTCATGGAGCAAACTTCTGGGAGGCAGCTTCCGACCATTTTAGTCACTTCAAGATTATAAAAATAGAATATTCTGGGGGCTGGGAATGTGTCTTAGTGGTACAGTGCATGCATAGCATGCATGAAACTCTGGGTTCGATTCCTCAGTACCACATAAACAGAAAAAGCCAGAAGTGATGCTGTGGCTCAAATGGTAGAGTACTCAGGGACAGTGCCCAGGCCCTGAGTTCAAGCCCTAGGACTAGCAAAAGAAAAGAAAGAGAGAAAGAATATTCTGCTTTAATAGATTATTGTTTTATCTATTCTGCACATAAAATATAGTATCATACAAAAGTAGAAATGCTTCTCAACAAAACAGAAAGCACTTAAAAGAGTCCATTTAATTTTTTTTGGGGGGGGGTCAGTCGTGGGGCTTGAACCCTGGGCCTGGATGCTGTCCCTGAGCTCTTCAGCTCAAGGTTAGCACTCTACCGCTTGAGCCATAGCATCACTTCTGGTTTTCCAGGGGTTAACTGCAGATAAGAGTCTCACAGGCTTTCCTGCTTTGAACCATGATCCTCAGATCTCAGCCTCCTGAGTAGCTAGGATTACAGGCATGAGCCAACCAGGGCCTGATCAAGACCATTTAATTTTAAAAACTATTTTCCTATAAGGATATTCTAAGACCAATGCATCTCAAGATTATACTTTGGCTCCATCAACACCAACCCACTCATAGGTAGAAAAAAGAAAGCCTATTGGCTTTGAAAGTAATTAATATATGGTTGTCTTCTTGAAAATAACAAACGCAGCTGGGCGCTGGTGGCTCACATCTATAATCCTAGCTACAGTGGCGCTGTAGCTCAAGTGGTAGAACGCTCGCCTTGAGTTGAAGAGCTGAGGGACAACGCCCAGGCCCAGATTTCAAGCCCCACGACTGAAAAAAAAATATATATATATAATCCTAGCTACTCAGGACGCTGAGATCTGAGGATTGCGGTTCAAAGCCAGCCTGGGCAGAAATATCCATGAGATTCTTATCTCCAATAAACCACTAGAAAACCGTTAGTGGCACTGTGGCTTAAGCAGTAGAGCACTCGCCTTGAGCTGAAGAGCGCAGGGACAGTGCCCAGACCCAGAGTTCAAGTCCCGCGACCGACAAAAAAAAGGAAGGAAGGGAGGAAGGGAGGAAGGGAAGAAAAGAACAAATGCAGTAACTTCACAATTTCTGGGGAAATTTGATGGTAGCTATGAAAATCCCAGTTACCTCAAGGATTAGCTACCACATGCACCATTACGCAGCAAGCACTCCCTGTGCACTGATTGCCCATTCTCTCAGCATTATGTGTGCCAATGACTTTTAAATTGACAGAGAAAACCAACAAAAGGGGCATTATGAGAGGCACAATAGCAGGGGACTGATAAACTGTACAAACAGAAAACCTAATGCAATACTGCTCATTTTATATCTGAAAACAATCAACTATGTAACAAAAAAAAAGACTGGGATATCTAATTCACATGGGGGATATACAAACATGAAACAGAATGTGCAACTGTCCTAGGCCTTCGAGTACTTTAAATTTTACTACATTGTGTGTCAAGGACAAATTATAGTATGAGAGAAAGAAGAACATATTCAGAGCTATGGCCCGGAGAGGATAAAAAAGTTTTGCTATTTTCAGCACTTTTAACAATAACAAAACTTCTTCTTACCATTCCATCAACTATAATTATATCTATGTGCATTAGGTAAAGAGAGACCTTCAACAAATGATTCTCTAGTTACAAAAAAAAAAGTAAAACATGCTCTTTCCCATCTAGCAAGGTAAGAATGGCTGCCACCTCTGCAAGACTTGATTTCAGGACCCCCAATCCTTTGCCATCCAAGAGTGGAGGATACTAATTTCACACCTACAACAGTGGAACATGTCCAGACCTAACTTAAAAAAAAAAAAGTAAAACACTTTGTGCATAACCATTTTTTACTGTAGTTTTCTATTCTAGGTGTCTATTTTATTCTACCTATATCATGATAGCTTAACAATCAGAATATGTAGAAGATACAAGAAAAATTTTAGTAATTTTTTTGGTCTTGCATTGTAGTATGAATCCAATTCACTTTGGTGCATGCTAGGCAAACACTGTACCACCGAACTTTAACACAAACAATACATCAAACATTACAAAGAATGCAAGTTGATTACTTGTACAAACCATGTACAGCTATACAAACCAAGCATGTAATACAATTGTAAAAGACTGGCAACTTTAAGGAAATAGGCTGTGCTTATAGCAATAGTTCCACTATTTTCGCTTAACAACCTCATAGACTCATTTCTCTTAAAAAAGCACTTGATATCCTATACTGCTCATGTCCAGTGATGGATTATTACAAACCATTTGGCATTAACCAGCCAAATTCAAGGCCACTGTACTAAGGGACTATGAAAAAGACCAAAAGATCTTGGCACAGATTTGGATCTCCTCCTCCTCCCCCTCCTCCCCCTTCTCCTCTACTTCATCTTCTTTTTTGCCAGTCATAGAGCTTGAACTCAGGGCCGGAGCACTGTCTCTGAATTTCTTTTGCTCAAGGCTAGCACTCTACCACTTCCAGCTTTTTCTATTTATGCGGTACTGAGGAATTGAACCCAGGGCCTCATGCATGTTAGGCAAGCACTTTACTACCAAGCCACATTCCCAGCCCCAGACTTGGACCTTCTTTATCTTCAATCTTAGCTCAGATGTCCCACCCTCAAAGGGGTCACACACATACCCCACCATGAGTCTTTTCTAAATGAACCCTACTCACTCACTAGCACACTACCCAGATGCTTCCCAGGTATCACTTACTTACCACTATCTGAAATTATCTTGTTTATTTCCTTGGGTTTTGTCTGTCTTCTTCCTCCATATGAACAGGTACCTTCTCAGTCACACACAATAGGCACTTGATCAAAGCATTAAATAAATGAATTAGGGTAATTAGTTCAAACAATAATGTAAGCTGGGAGAGGAAAAAGGAAGATAGTGGCCAAGTGCTGGTGGCACACACCTGTAATCCTAGCTACTCAGGAGGCTGAAATCTGAGGATCATGGTTCAAAGCTAGCCCGGGCAGAAAAGGCCATGAGACTCTTATCCCCAATAAACCACCAGAAAACTAGAAGTAGCGCTCTAGCTCAAGTGGTAGAGTGTTTGCCTTGAGCTTTAGAGCTGAGGGACAGTGCCCAGGCCCAGAGTTCAAGCCCCACAACTGATCCCCCCCCCCAAAAAAAAGGAAGACAGTGATAATAGGCAGCAATGAGCCTAATAGGGAAGAATGGAATTCAGAGAATGGTAGCCTCACAGATGAGAACCTGGGACCTCTAAACCAAAAGGTAGCCACTTAAAGACAGTAGTCCAATGGCATGACTAAGCAAGAGGACTCTTTCCCACATCACAATTATCACTGGAAGCAAGATTTTAAGGGAGCCTTGACTACAAGGCCATCCCAACCACAAAACTCCTGCCCCATACTTTAGAGGCAGGCATTACTAGTCCACTTGTATTAATGTCAGGGGTGGCAGGCTCAGACATGCCTGGACTTTCCCAGTATATCTGAGGTAGGGACTGACCAACCCTTGTCCAAATGAGCCTTTTGGCAAACCCGATGGGCTCATCCCTTTACTCTTTTGGAAATGGTCAACATAATGCAGACTCAGATCTAGCTGCTTCTCTTTTTTTCTTTCTTTTAACCCATCATTTCTCCCAAAGGCATCAACTTCTTATAGTGGCAGTGAAGGGGGGGGGGGAGAAAGAGCTTTCTCTCATACAGGTGCAATCTGGTGTTCCATCATGACAAGCCAGGTACCATCCCTGCACCTGTTTTCCTCTACCTGTAAAGCCGGGATCATCAGGATACTGCTCCCAAAGAGTGGGGAGGCCGGGTGCTGGTGGCTCACGCCTGTAATCCTAGCTACTCAGGAGGCTGAGATCTGAGGATCGCGGTTCAAAGCCAGCTCGGGCAGGAGAGA